AATGAAATATCCAGCAACCGTCCGGCCATGAAACCATTCAAATTTCACACGAAAAACAGTACATTTACTAAGAAGGTGGCAAGCATGGAAACAAACACGCAGAAAAAGAACTGGTGACGCACTTAAAAGGGGCAAAAACAGAACTGCATAAGGATCATGATTACAGATTGAGGTACAGTACACTAACACAAATAGTGCAAAAGACAATGATGTATGGGGAGAGGAAACTGGAAATGGAAGGCAAATATTGAGACTGGCATCCATGGATCGTTTCATATGCAATACTGTACAGTTTTTCAACCCTACCCAAGGAATTTTGTCCCTGGTGGACCAAGCTGGAGGATTCTGCTAACCAAACTCTCTCCCTCATTTAGAGGTGGGGGGGCACTGGGGAGGTGGAGTTTACTGTGTGACACACCGAGCATCCGTACGCAGCAATGTGGAAGAAAGAGCACACAGAATGTTTTGTTTGGGTGCAGACCGGGGCAGGGGGCAGTTTTCCCATGCCTGGTTAACAGAAAAGTTAGCAGAACTTCACACATATGGCTCTTATTCACAAAAAATCTGAGGGAATGTTGACTATACAAGATGTCATGTTCCCACACATAGAAAAATCATATCATTTAACCCAATTATAATAATTATAATAAGAATTTACTTTTTGTTCACCAAGTTTAATGTAGCAGGGTTTTCATTGTGATTGTTGCTTTGACCACACTGAGTAAAAGTACTGTTACATAAAAACTTACATTTTAGAAAAGGAAGGGCCTGGAAAATGCTCTATTTTTTAACTCTATCTTTTAATTTATTTATATTATCCTACGCATACTATGGGACATGTTTATATTGTTAGAATTAAATTGCAACACAACAAAAGTAACCAGTTACATTAAGAAATTATTATTAAAATACATCTGCTTTTCTCTGAAAAGCTCTATCCTTGGACTTTAATAAAAACAAAACTATAATACACTACATTTTCCAGAGGTTTTGGTCATGGAAATCCTCTATAATATATGTATGTAATGCCTAATTGATTGTACACTGGATAACTGAAGGGCCAAAACTAAAATTAAATTAATTGTGAAAAACTCAGAAAACATTACCAACATTACCACTAGAGGGCAGAATTTAGAGCCACATATAAAACCAAACATGGTGCAATATTGGAGGTGGAGTTTACAAGAAAAGCTCTGGTTAAAAGGGTTAGATTTCATCTTAAAGTAAGTTAGAGTGGAGCTGTGATCGAATAAAGCGGGGCATGCTGAGGAGCAAAGACTGCCAGGCCCTGGCACCGGAAAGAAGCAAGAGCTGATACAGAAACAGTTTTAGTAAGGCAGTGGCTGGGGAAAATCAGTCTGAAAGAAAAACAAGGCAGCAAATTGAATTGTAAGCTTCACACAAATAAGTTTCAGTGAGCGGGATAAAGCAAAATGGTATCTCTTCATTCTCTGTTAAAACTAGAAGGGAGTTATCTGTATTTTACTGCCAGTGAAACTGTGTTTGTGCAGAAAACAAATCAAATAATTGTGTATCTTGTTATTCTACACGTCCGCGGCCTTACCCGAGAAACTGGGCTCCGGAGGGCCCCACCTCGATGAGCCGGCTGGCCAGGCCCTCCCCCTCCACCATGGGGGGCATGGTGGCCAGTCGGTGGCGCTTGACCAGCCGGCAGGTGACCCGCGTGGGCGCGCTGCACTTGCGGGGGGGGACGATGATGCGGAGGCCGTTGTGTCGGCAGCCACGCATGGCCCCGCCCCTGGCGTCCACCATGAAGCTGACCAGGAAGCTGAGGGGGGGGGAGCAGACGGTCACACACACTGACCTTACTCAAACGTTCTGGGATGAGAACACACACACCAGGCCTAAGGACTTTTTTCATCATCATCATTTAAATGCTTCTAACAATCAATTATTGGTTTATGAAAAAGTGAATGGATACTGTTTAAAAAATAAACCTGTTTAATGTCACAAAATGGGTTCTAGTCCTAGGGCTTTTCAAGGTAAATCTAAATCTATTCTTTTCTAAAATGTTAGTCTGTGTGAACACAGTAAGAACGTTATTTCACAATGCAAGCTCTTTTATGTTTTTAATAAGTTTGTCTGTTTTTGGGGGCTGAGCATTGCTTAAACCTTGGATGTGTTCTTAGCTGCTTTGCTTTGGAATAGTTTAAGTTAACAAGTAGATACTTGCTCGCATATGAAAATAACATTAACAGGAAAGAACAAAGGTCTATTTAAATAAAGACAGACACATCTTTTGTGCGAGGGCTCCTTACAACACTGGAAATGAGCTCCAGTCTGGAAAAGTCCTGGATCAAACAACAGTAGGAGGACACACAATGACATCGATATAGTGTCCACACATTTCAAGACAATGGATTGTGATGATGGACAAAATATGTACATTTTATACATATTTTGGTAAGAGTAGCTTTGAAATCGATACAGAAATGAGCCCCTCTTATTACTGATCCTGTCTATAAATAAAGCAAGACATGATTTGGTGTCTGTTTTCTCACTGTGGAGCAGAAAAGACCATGTCGGTCTTCAGAAAACTCAATTCTCATGCAAATGTCTATCGTGCACAAACATCCCACTTTTCTCTGTGAGTCAAACCGACTGTGATGAGGTGATATACACATCCATTCCTATAGTTATCCTGGCTTAGCTTCAGATAAAAAAGCAAGTTTTCATTTTGTCAACACACATATAAGACAAAAAAACACTTGTTATCTGAACCAGAGACATGAGCAGAAAATAGTTAGAGGGCTGTTGTCTTCCACTCTATAGACACACAACATGCCTCCAACTAACTGTGCACAACTCATTGTGTTAGTGAGACTTCACAAGACACGGTATGAGATCCACAAACATGTCACCGTCTCATTTTGCCTGAATATTCTCCGTTTAAGGTTACTTTTCTTTAACTTTATGCATCACACGGTGACACAAGGTAAATAGTGTTTGATTGGGAAACGTTAACTATTCACCAGGCGATGTTTGTTAAGCACAGTGACATGTAACACCTCTCCCCAGGAGAGCACACTGTGAGTGGAGGGAGCGGGGGATGAAGATGAGGAGGAGTATGAGTTAACCAAGGGGCAGCGGGTCACCTGCTGTGGTCTCCATGATCATGGCACGGAGAGCAGCGGCTAAAAACAACAACCACATCAGACAGAGGAGAATCAATAGTCAAGCAGGAACCAAAACCTTGGGAAAAACATCAGAGTAAGAAAAGAGCAAAGGAATAGTGGAGGGAAAGGAAATATAGCAAATGCATTCTCCAAAAAACAACACTGAACACAAAAAGGACAAACACTGCTTCAGTGCTTCTTCAGGACTAAAAACAGGAGCTCCGGCTTGTGGGACTTCTTTTTCTTTACAGAAAAACAAACCTGTAATGCTCAGTAATGATTGTACTATGCTTTTGTAGCTGCACTCAGACACACACAAACACACAAACACAATATTTCCGCCGGATTCTGTAGAGCGTGACACACATTTTAAAGGCCTTTGTTCATTATTGTTAATATCAGTTGTGAATATCTGATGCTTATTTTTTGTAACAATTTATAAATCATTTATTACATTTATATTTATTCACTTTCATTTTTAACTAGTGCAAAGGAGGGTCTGGAGTTGGTTCTGTAAAAATCTCTTTTTCACAGCTCTACATGTTTTTATAAAATATCACAGATTTAATCATGCTTAAAAAAATTGGGATCTAAATACAAGCTGAAACTGGATAAGTGGTATATAAAAGGAGCTATCATCTCTATGATATGAGTGGCTCAGTTTGCTTTGTGCTGGGAATCTGAATATCCAAAGAGACACATCTGCAGTGATCACACAAACAGACTGAGCTACCCATCGGATTCTAACACAAATAACACACAGCTTTAATAAAATGTCAAGCTTTCCATAAAAAAGGCAGAGTTTCATGGCAACAGTACCAATTTAAAGCACGAGTTCTTGGTCCGCCCTTGTGTGAGGCCATGTTTAGAACTCATGAAAAATATACTAATATAGATGATACAAAAAAGATGGATGCAGCCCCCTCATGTAACAGTTGAAGCAGCTGCAAAAGTGCCTTTAAATATAATATATAGGTCTCCAATAAACGTGTAGCTCCAATATACAACTGTACATAAAGCTCCAACCTCTTAATTTCAATGCTAAGCTCAACTAATTTACCACAATTCTACACACTGTATTGTAGATTAATGAAATACTTCAGAAGTACTATAAATGAATTGCGTGTTTTTAAAACTGTGCGTATTAAGTCAGAACTGTGCAGAGATTTGCAGCTTTTCTGTTCTCCTCTCCTCCAGGGACAGCACCTACCCAGAGTGGATGGGGCTGGAGGACAAAGCCACATTATCCAGGTTGTCTGTGCCCCAGCTCAGCCGGTAGGAATCCTTCTCGTTCTCCCGGGTAAGCAACGACATCTGGAATCAGACACACAAAGCACATCAACTTCTAGTTCCTGTATTCAACATTAAGAGGATAATGGTGTCACTCGGTCTAACTAAATGACAAATATTATACAATGAAAAACAAGAGAAACAAAGTATAGCCAGTAAATTATGTTAGACTCAATCTAGTGGTCAGCTATTTCAATAAAACTGTCAAGAAGAGAGCTTTTAAAGATGCTGTCTGTTCCAAAGCGATAATTGTGACTTGTTTATGATTCAATCTTTAAGGAGTGGAGGTTTACAGACTGTGTCTCTCAGTCACTTTTATCTGTTGGTTGTAAATCTAAACTATGAGAATGGTCTATGGGCATCAGTTCAAGGTTGTAGTTTAGCTTTAAAACCTGGAAAGAACCCCACAATGACCATGGCCCGAAAATGTTTTCAAGAAAAAGGAAAATTAGAGAGATGGGAGCTCGTGAATGCTAACAAAAGGCGGTCTCAGGCAATATTAGATCATCTAAAAACAATGCACAATCATCAGAAAAATGTCCACTAAAAATGTTTAGCTACATTACAATAAAAGGTAATACCAGACAAATGGGACCATCCTCACAATTGCTATATCAGTGGAAAGATGCCAAGATGTTGCTTATATGTAATTCTGTATCAAATTCTTTAGGACACAAAATTCTATGGGAAAATATTTACTGATCAGTTCAGCAAATCTTTTCTAAATGCAATGATCCACTGATCAGTGAGGATGAGCGGTACCTGCTGACTGGTGAGCATCTCCTCCATCATGCCTTCATGTCTAGGAGAGTAAAAGCTGTGGTGGGTGGGTGTGAAGGACCTGTCTGAACTGGAGAACAGGGGAAGAACAAAAGAGCTGTCATGAAATGGTCATAAAAGGGAGAGAAAACTGGGTAATTCTAAAGAAAACCTTTGGTAATTCGCTTAATTTTAATGAAAATAAAGCTATGTATCTCTTATCACAAACAGGAATCAATGTCCAACAAGTCAAAACCAATTAATGTGAGCAAAACATGATTATTTCTGACCTCATGTATGTTCAGAAGGAACACAAATATAAATTAATAACATTGGTATCACTTTTTTAAAATGGTGACTATGTTTCTTCGCCTCGACATGAATTGCTTTAGATGCATTTACTTTAAAAAAAAAAAAGCTTTTGGTATCTGATCATTGCTAATTTGAATTCTTATCTAAAAGGCAAATGTATTTGAACTTTCTATATGGAAATGCTTCAATGGACTGGCGACCAGTCCAGGTGGGAATAAGCGGTAGAGAAAATGGATGGATGGATTTGGAAATGCATTTACTTAGGATTAACATTTAGCTAAACAAGGTATCATCCAGTTGTCATTGGATTGTCTTGAAGCAGATCCTACACCACTAAAAATAATCCAGAATCCTCTCATGTGTTTTTCCACGATGGTGGAATGACCCACCAAGTGACCCGTTTATGTTCAGAAAACTATTAACTGCATTGCAAAATGCTTTAGATAAAAGCACTAACATAGACATATAGCTGCGGCACTTTAAACAAAACTGAATCCAGAAAGATTCTATTTACATATATATGCAACACAAATAAAATTGGGCACAGCTGTATTATATTTTGCTAATGTTTGTAATTTAGTTGAATGTGAAGTTATCTGAAAACAAATCAGAAGGAAAAAAGAATAATTGTTGAGGGTGTTGATAAAGAGGTAGGAAAGCTATACCTTAGAAAATATTTTGTCTTGAAATATCTGTGATAATACATCCTATCTCGGAGGAAGCTGTTTAATCAACCAAGTTTATTATTTCCCTCATAAAACTGGAAACAGATGGGAAGTACCAACATTTTAATGTGTTCCAGGTCAGATGTGACTCACAAAATGTTTCCATTTCCCTACTGTTCTTCTTATATAAAAACACCCTCAGGTTAATTTAGTTTATGTGTAAATTCTTTAATTAGAGCACATCTTATTAAGGCAAAAACAAAAACAATATTAACTTGACATTTGATAGAAAATACTCCTGCAGGTAATCATCATCTCTGTGGACTTTTAAAAAACTAGTAGGAATAAATTATGATGCCTCTTACACTTTAAGCCACACTATTCCTAGTTTTACAAAATGGTCATGTAATTTAGAGGAAATAATTTAACTTAGAATTAATTGTATTTATGGACAAAGTCAGTATTCAAAATGTAACCACTGCTTTGGAAGGAGGCAGATTGTTTTACCCATTAGTGCTAAGATATGTGAATCAGCACATACCTTTGGATTCGGCTGATTGATCCATAACAAGGTAGAGCAATCATGAAGTTTGTGGGCCACAAGTTGCAAAACACACACAGACACACACAGACAGTCAGTTTGCACATGCTCAGGAGGAACAGTGTGCTATCTCTCTACTCTGACACATGGCAGGGTCACAGCAGCCATCGACTGCATATAAACGCTAGTAATTAGACAGTGAAAGGGTCAAATAGTTACGTAGATAGATACACAACTGGTTTAAAGACAGTTTTCTGACAGGAAAACGGGTTGTATGAATAACAGGTTGCTCAATATGCACCATGGCCTAAAATTCTACGCGAGGCCCATGACGTAAATGTTTACTTCATGAACCTAAGAACCTGTTTCCATTTAATTTTTACTCCCAGATGACTTTTCCCAGCTGTTGTGAGTGTAAATGCGCACAGACGCATCAACACTAGTGCTCCTGCATTGGTGCGTGGGTGTTTTGTGTCTTTTAACAGCACACACCCATCCAGGTGACCCCGCCGGTGTCCATCGGGCCCCAGGGCCGCGCTCTTTCCAGGGTGGTTCTAGCTTTCCCCCCAGTTTAGCGCAGCTAAAGAGTCCTCTTTAGCTGAGCCTAGCTAACGGGTCCTGTTTAGCTGAGCCTAGCTAACGGGTCCTCTTTAGTTGAGCCTAGCTAACAGGTCCTCTTTAGCTGTGCCTAGCTAAAGGGTCCTCTTTAGCTGAGCCTAGCTAACGGGTCCTCTTTTGCTGAGCCTAGCTAACGGGTCCTCTTTAGCTGAGCCTGGCTAACGGGTCCTCTCCAGTTGGAGCGGCTAAACAGGTCAGACCACCAAATCAGCCTGGTCTAAACAACCAAGAGGGAAGAAGCAGCCATCTTCCTGGTTCCGCTGTGCATGTGTGGCTATATGAACAGAGCTAAGTTAAGTCCAGCCGATTCAGAGTGAGTGTGAGATCAGTCACAAGCTTCTCACATCCCTCCAGAATCCACCGGCAGGCTGGGATTGATTTAGTCCTGACTGTGGGGTCAGCCCTGAAGGGGGGCTGCTGCTGTCTGGACTTGGTTTGGGGCTCAGTGGACATGGAGGTCAGGGAGAAGAGGCTCACAGAGACAGAACACCCTGTGATGACGTCACTCTCCACCTTGTTCCACTAAATGTAGCAGCTCCGGAGGAGACCCTAACCCTCAGGTTGATGTGCTAATCAGTGATGAGGTCTCAGTGAGTTACTTTGTTATTGTATATTAACCCTCCATTGAGTTTTTTTTCCACAGATGAGCTTTCACAAGGGGAGCGTCTGTAACGGTCACATACCTGTCAGCGCGCCCCCCCTCCAGGCTGAAGCGCAGGTAGTTCATTCCGTCCAGATACTGACCGGGCAGGGAGTCGTCTCCCAGCTCTCTGAGGTCCTCGGCCCTCAGATATTCCCCCCCATCACCCGTCATTGTGTCATCACCTTCAGACAGGAGAGCGTAATTTTAGCATAGTGTTATCACATATAATATGGTCTATTGCACAAACAATATCCCTGCTGAACAAAATAGTATGTATTTTATCTCCATTTTGATTCCATTTTCATATATCTCTATCCATCATAACTGTATTCAGGGAAATGTCCAAATTGCTGCTTATCCTTTCTGAGGACATGATAACTGACTAATGCAGTAAATGAATGCAAACATGCAAATGATAACACACACAGCTCACACAGTCAAGCCTGAACACAAGAACGAATAGTTTAGCAACACTCCAGGAAATCGATGCTCATTTAGAAGAATTGGAAATGGTTAAAATGAGCTTTTATGTCAACACACGATGTTTTGGGATGATTCTTTCTTCTTGAGCATAAATATGTATCATGATTTATTAGTAATAATCATTAAATGTTATTTATCAAAGTAATAGTTCAACATACATGGATGTCCATTTACTTCCTTTTTTAAGGTTCCACAATTATACCATGAAACATATAATAACAATAACATCTTTCAGATAATTTAGCTTAAACTAGCATTTTTCCATATTTCTCATTTTTCTGTGTATAGGTATTAAAAAACACAAACAAAGAAAACATTCATTACTAATCTTTGCCAACATGTTCCAAATTGACATGAAAACAAAACATTTTTCCATTAAACTATTAAATCTGAAGGCACGTGAAATCAAAATTGTTCCCCTCACACTGGCTGGCTTTAGTGAGTCCTGACCGCCTCTGACCTCAACACATTCAAATGAAATTGTTTCTGCACTTAGTAGTTAGTTAATGCATTGAAACCTTCATGGAATTAGTTAGGACTGTCCAGTCTATCAGCCACAGGCTCATTCACAATGCATGTCACACAGGGTTTCCTTATACAGGAAGTTCACGCTGCAGGCTCTCACACCGTGCTAGATACCTTCCTCATCTGTGTCATCAGACATAACCTCATCATCGATGGTTTTAAACGCTGTAGGTAGAAAGTTTAGTCACTCAGTGGCTTTTAACACCCATTTTTAGATGTGAACGTCTTTTTTTTCTGGATCTTCAACTGCTAATGTTCACCAGCTAGTCCAGAGTGTTTGATTGGTAAAGACACAAAAAGAATTTGGGCTTAAGAGACTATATGCTGTTTAAATGGCAGTGTATCTGGTTTATCTGCCCAAATGCCGGGTACCAGAGAGGGATCCCTTTAAACTGAGAACACACAGTGGGATCACATCCGACAACGTGACTCACCCTCTTCATCGGAAACGTCGAGGACTTCAGTCATAGTCTCGGGCACGTTCAGCTTGTGTTTCTCTGTCACCGTCTGCTGGGGGAGAGGAAACGGATGTAATGAAATGTTTTACATACAGAGCCCCCAGGTCTTCTAGCTCTTTAAGCAAACTAAGACAATACAGAATAACACAATGTTCTCAGAATGACTGAAAGGTTTTCTGGACTGGTCCATTCTCTCACGGTTTCTACAGGGAAAGTAAGCTCCCATTTCTAAGGTTCCACTGACTTCTGCATAAACCGTAGTCACCATGTACTTTGATCATACAAATAAAGAAGCACACATATTGGTTTCTTTTGTCATTTCTGAGATAAACTGATTGAAATGAAACATACTTATGTTTCAGTCTGTTTTCAGCATTTGCATACCCTAAGATGCAGTCACCTAAACACGAACTCTATTCCTGAATACTTTACATCTGACCGTTTGGCCACTGACGTCCAGCATGAGTGTGTGTGTGCGTGTGCGTGCGTGTGTGTGAGACATACTGTTGTGGTTGTGATGATCTCCTCTGTGACCACCCTTAGTGTGTCCACCACAGAGATGTATCCCAGTCTCCGCGCGATCCCCAACGCCGTGTTACCATTCTGGACAGAAAGAACGCACACTTGAACGGGTGTGTCTACACATCGGAGGTTGCGTTGGTGTGAATGTGTGCTTACGCACCACAGTGATAGCGTTGGGTTTGGCACCGTATTGTAACAGCACATTAATGATGTGGGTGTTCCCTTGTTGGGCTGCCTGGTGAAGGGGAGTGTATCCACTCTGGAGAGAAAAACAAGGCTAAATGAAACGATATGTTCGGGGATTTGATGGAATGACCTAAGGGTTAGCTCACCCCACTGTTAACACAATGAAAACATTACACGCCTCACTAAAAATATATTTCCCATGGAAGGGAGCACTTGAATAGCCAATGGTTCATGAGAGATGCAGGTTCTCCAGAACCACCTGACTGACTTCAGTACCTTGGTTTTGGCATTGACGCTAGCTCCATTTTGAAGCAGGAAGTTGACCATCTTGGCATTCCCGTAATGGCATGCTACAATTAGTGGAGTGTAGCCCAGCTGTGGAAGAACAAGTCAGATTTAATGGTCAAACCAGGAGCAAAACACCACGCCGACATGCACTGTGGATCAACAGTAAGGCCGAAACTGAGTGGAGAGTCTGTTCACTGTTAGCTATAAATGAACATGATTGTTCATACTTTGGTTTGTTGATCAAGGTTGGCTCCATTCTTGGCCAGGATCTCAGCCACAGTGACTTTGTCCTCCTGGGCGGCCAGATGGAGGGCGGTCAGTCCGCTCTGCACGAGGAACACACCCAGTCAATGTACACACAAACTGAGGAAGTGAAGGACTTTGGATCTGGAGCTGAGCTTTACCTTGTTGGGAACGTTAATCTGGGCTCCTTTGCTGATGAGCAGGGTGGCCAGGTCTGCGTGCCCCTCCTGGGAGGCCAGATGAAGCGGAGTGACCCCCTGCTTGGTCAGTATGTTGGTATCTGCGCTGTACTGCAGCAGCACCGTGGCAATGTCCATCTGGTTCTTCTTAGCAGCGATGTGTAGAGGAGTGTAGCCGTTCTAAAGCAGCCAAACAGAAAATTGTCAAAATTGTCGTCACCCATCTCCTGAGCAGACCCAAAGCAGCAGTGACCAGCTCCCAATTATTGTTTTCTGATCCTATGTCCCACAAGGGTTGAATTTAGTGAAAAACCTTTTAATCCAGGTAAGTAAGAAACAGAAAATGCATTCTATTCATTCAAACATGTTAAGGTGTGCCTGTTTTCAGAGACCCTATCACTCTCCTGTGGTGGGAGTGTGGATTCCAAACCCAGATAGAGGATTCAACTCCCCAAGACAAAAAATAATGTGATCTCATTTGTATACTTTAGGGGAACTTTCGGACGGCACAAGGAAGGCCAGTAGAACATTCTATGTGGTCACCTGAGATCAGACTAGCATAAGTCTACCGGCTCCTTTCTGTGAATGCAAATTAAAAGTGACATCTGGACACCTCCACTGGACAGAGATATGAAAAACGATTACAGGACCTAAGGAAACATTGTTTTCCTCATAGTTCAGTTCATCCTGAATGCCCAAAAATATGTTAAACCGAGGTTGTATCATTGAACAGGGTCTTCAGACACATTTTTGATGATATAATCATCCTAATCCCTAACATTGGATTTACTAGATTTATTACCAAATGTTCCATGTTGCCAGAGAGTAATCTGGTATCTTGGAAACATCATGATCTCTTAAATAAACATGCTTCAATGACAACATAGCTCGTACCTTTATACGGTCAAAGCATTCACTATTTATTTATTTTTTTATTGGCAGTGGATCTTATTTAGTCTGAATTGTTATTGAGTGTCAATCTCAATATCTTATTTTTAGCACATGAGATATCAAATGATCAAATTATCTTCTAGTTCATGATAATATATGATGATCTAAGAAACTGAGTAATGTGTATTTAGAGCAACGGATTGGAGAAATATTGCTTTACCTCATAAAAGTTCAAATTCAACTTTTAAGTTCCTCTTCTTAAACTTAATACTTAAGTTCCATTATTGGCAGAAAGTTGCAAGCAAAACCCCGCCTCAGCAAGTAAAACCTGGAGAGCACCAAGGTTCTAGTAACAAGTTGCAGAAAAGAGTTGTTTGTTTCTTTATGGTCAAATGTGCATTGCTTAAACCCACATCTTAAATGTTAGTCGGGTAACAACCAATGATTTGACTGTTTAATAATAATTTGACAACTGCTGTGTGTTCATTAATAATAATTTTTCATAATAATCTGTTTTCATAACCTATAGCTAACATGGAACAAAAGAGGGGGATAACCTCATTGTAGTTTATAACCAAACCCTAGCAGGTGAACCCAGAGTTATTTTCATTTATTTTGGCCCAATGTTTTTGTGGGCATCACCTGATTGCTGGCTGGCCATAAGAAAGCACTTGGAATATTGTTCTCTCAGAGTAATGGTGAAGAGGATGTCAAAGGCACATTTCTGAAGGAGTGGGTCATGTCTGAGAAGGCTTAAAATCAATTGAGTTAAAATGAATAACTAGATTTTTTTCCCAGTAAAATGAATAAATTCCATATGACCTCCCTGGAAGTCCCAATTACAGTAGTTACAGTAACAGCTTCTGACATATCTCCCTTTTCTATTGCTGTCACTCCCAGCAAAAACTGTTCTGTACTGCCCAATGTCTGTTTTATTTTAGCGTATTGTTATATTTCTGATTCCATTTGACTAAATAGTCAATATATCGCATTTTATATACATTTGTCCAACAAAATGAGAACTCATGACAATATGACACACACTGATATAGACCAATAATTTGGTGAAGCTCCTCCCCAATTTAGAATCAATAACAAAATGTGCACATTTAAACTAAATAACTTTACAGTTTTCAATGTGGAAATGAATATGGAATAAATTCATAATCACAGGATAACATGAAGATGACTGCCCAAAGAAGAAAAAACACATTTTTATCATATATCACCATATGGAGCAGATATTAGTTAGAGGAGTAAGTAAGTATAAGTAAGTATTACCTATTACAGATATAGAAATATTTGACCATCAATTAAAAGGAGGTTTGGTGACACCAAGTTAATTTTTCAGGGTGATGATGCATCTCACCACAAAACAAGGAGCAGTCTCACATTTCTTCAGGCCAGCAGAAGTGTGTAATATTGATCGAATTGCAAACATGACTTCTGAAAAATGAAATACTGACCCATTCAGCTTTATAAGAAAGAATATCCCTGATGGATGAATATAATGTGTTTTATCAGTGAAGTCCTTTAGCAGTCACAAAAACAAACACGAGGGGTTTTGGGATCACAATTCTATCATTTTGTCAATTAATTAATCTGATAAGACATTGTTTTCTTTTCTTTTCTTTTTCTCTTCACTGAAACATTAGTTGTGATTTTCTTTTTTTGGTCGTGGTCCTATTGAAGCTCTGCGTGAGCCCTCACCTTGGCCATGGTGTGGGGGGACGCTCCTTTGTCCAGAAGTAGGAGCGCCACCTTCTGGTTATCATAATGTGCCGCAACATGGAGTGGAGTGAGGCCGTTCTGTAGCGAGGGATGGGGGGGGCATGGGTTATTAATAACGGTTAGCTTAGCGCAAATGGTTTAACACTAATACACAGTTAAAGTCATTGTTAAAAAAAAAAAAGCAGAATCAGATTAATTTAAGGTGTCATTATGTGGGTTTTTGTTATAAAATGTTAAAGAAAAATAATCTTTACTGTAAAAAGGTGTCTGTTAATTGCAGGTGTAAAATCCTGTGATGTTAATATAGATGAATGGATCCCATATGTCATCACCAGGGCGTTAGCCGGGTGGATAAACCTGTTTTTGTAGCTCACCTTCCCAGCAGAATCAGGAGGCGCGCGGCGCTGCAGCAGTAGTTTGGCCACATCCAGGCTCCCGTACTTAGAGGCAACATGCAGAGGAGTAAAACCTTTCTGTAGAGAGAAACAATCCCAAGAGAAAGACTAAGAAATGTCGTACATACAAATTCTGACCTTTGGTGTTGAAATCCATGATTAGGATTTTACTCATTATTTTGTGGACAAAAATAGATTCAATTAATATATCAAACAAAGGTGAAATGTTGGATAGAAATGTATATTTCCAACTTTGATTCATCTGTTTTGGCCACAATGATTGAGAAAAATTGCTTTTTTTAGGTTTAAAATCACTGGGCACATTTTAGTCATTATTAATATAAATAAATCAGTATTTTGATGTACAAAAAGTTTTGTCTACTCTTGCCTTTCATTGTATAAATAATAGGTGATGGTAGATGAATGAGGCCTCAGTTTCACACAGCAGATACACACTGTATATTTAGGTTATAGACGTTTATACATACATTAGTATATAATAATCAGTGTTGTCCTACACATTTTCTTGATTCTGCGTTATCAAAGCTGCTGAGAAAATCACTCACACCAGATATATATCTAATTACATTAAAAATTTCAAAACAAAACATGAAGTGGACCTAAATTGGTTGAGTACTCTGTCACTACAAATCAGGGTAAGTAGCTCATAAACGTTATCTTTCCACATGATTCTTTACAGTTGGTGATATTTATTTATGCAGATGTGGGAGTGTTGAGGAAAAAGGCTCATGACACAAAATCCCATACAGCTTTTCAAATGTGCGTTTGTTTGCTGACAGAAATCAGCGTTCTGTCTTTCTGATGCAACTCCAGGTAAGCTCAAACATCCAGATCCACACTGTTAGCCTCCATCTCATTTCTCCGCCTGCAGAGGGCACACTTTAGCCTCGTCAGAAAAAGCAGAGGGGCCTGTGTCCCTGAGCACGTGATCAGTGTGTTACAGCACAGCCCTGCTGATGGAGGGAGCAGCCTTTGTTTATCTGGATTCCTTCTGATGGGAGACAGGTCCAAACACAAAAGCGATAAAAGGCCGGAGGAGGGAACCTTTCAGGTGACGCTAAACTAGACTGTGAGAATTCCAGATGTTAACACAGAGAGTATTATGCCGGTGCAAAGGCATTACGGGTTTCCATGGTTTGGTCACTATAGCAACAGCCACACCCTTCCTCTCCAGAAAGAAGCAAGGGAGACGGGCAGTTTACATCACTGAAGGCCGATGGATTCTGCATTAGAGAATGTTTTGTTCGCTCTCGTGAATACGTTAAAAGGCTAATCCGTCCATCAGTGGGTTGGTAGTAATGACCTTAATGCAGCTCCCCCCTCAGATAAACATCCCTACAATCACCATGATAAGTCACTTGATAGCAGTCGGGCCCGCGGCGCCATCCAGAGACGGGAGGCAGCTTTATGGCATGAATCATTCAGCAGAAGTGGGTCAAACCGGCACACTGTAACTGTAATCCCAGACCTCCGCTCAGGGCAGGACAGACCAGGCCACGTCTCAGAGAATACATCCCAGTCATTTATCAGGAGAAACTCAAAGAGATGGTGGCTGTTAGAATGTACAGAATGTCCCTTCTGGTCATTTTTCAAGGCCAGTAGCTACCAAACTGCAATCACTGCGGCAATTTGTATCATTTCAAGCAAGGTTTCACACAAAAGCACGTCAAGGGACCTGGACTATGTTCTGACAGTGGTGAGGCCCATCTTTTAGACTTTCCTGTTTTTACTCACTATTATTTAGCTTTCACCCAGACCAGAGTCACTCATTTGGTTCCACTTCATATTTTGAAACAACAACAACAATAAAAGAACAATAAACAACAATAAAACACCTCACATCACTGGAAATAAATATATGAAAATATAAAATAATAATATAAGAAAAGATAAAAATAAGGAATAATTTTCTGTCCTTAAAAAAGGATATTGAGACCCTTTTAAATGAAAGAAAGACATTCATTTTTAGAGGTGAAATGCCTAATATTGAAACGTTGTCACCTTTTTATGCTTGTTGAATTTGTGATTTAGTGAATTTTGGGTGGGAAGATATCGCCAGAAAGACATACAAATTGTCATCTGTGTATGTGGGGCAGTTGTGATCACAAAACCTTTCTCTACAGTCCTATTTAAAACCTGCAGTCAGGCTGTTTTAACATTTATCCGGAGGCCCCACCTTTGTGGCCAGGGAGTGCGAGGCCCCGGCCTCCAGCAGGACGGAGGCCGTGTCCACGTGGCCCTCCCGGCCCGATATGTGCAGCGGCGTGTAGCCGTTGGCCGTGGCGGCGTCCGGGTGGGCCATGTGCTGCAGCAGCAGCTGGACCATCTCCGTCTTACCCAAACGGGCCGCGATGTGGAGGGGGGTCTGGTCCTCCTGAGGGTCAAGCAGGGGAGGAACCCGTAAACCACAGGTCAACACAGATTTTAGCTTAGACACAGAGGTGGTGGGCGGAGTGCAGGCTGACCCGTGCCCGGGCGTCCACTACGGCCCCGTTTCTCAGCAGACATCTGACCACCTCCACCTGGCCGGCCCGGGCTGCCATGTGCAGGGCGGTTTCTCCACGCTGGACACAGGACACACAGCATCTCACAGCTCAGCACAGGTTCACAACCCACACACGTTTCCTACGTTTACTCCGGACCGGTCACTATGGAAGCTTTTTCACTTGAGGCAGCATTATGATTTGCTCCATAAATGCTCTACTCACAATGTTGCTGACATCCGGAGAGGCTCCGTTCTGCAGAAGGAGCAGGACGATGTTGAGGTGACCCATGAAGGCCGCTACGTGGATGGGAGTCAGACCAGACTGGAAACAAGACCACAGACACTTTACTCCAATAAGCCAGTGCTCAATAAGTAAGTAAGTAAGTAAGTAAGTAAGTAAAGTTTATTTATATAGCACCTTTCACAGACATCAAAGGTCACAAGGTGCTTCACAGAAGTGCACAATCAAACATCAAGATAAAACAACAAAATGTAATAATAAAAAACCATAACTACATAAGACAATAAAATGTAAAAAAATTAAATAAATAAAAAACATAACTACATCGAATGCAATGGAAATGTTAAAAAGATTTGCAAAAGAGATAGGTTTTAAGTTACAAAATATGACATTCATTAAGTTTTCTTATTGTATCGAAAGAGATTATGCTATGTTTTTTAAACTGTCCCTCTTGAAATCATACAGGCTGTATAACCCAACGTTGCTACTATTCTCTTAAATTCTCCAAAGCAGTAGGATGTGGACGTAAAGCACCTCTGTGATGGCCTGAATGGAGGCTCCATATTTGACGAGAAGCTCCATCACTTTCACCCGGTTCTTCTTACAGGCTATGTGCAGAGGAGTGAAGCCATTCTGTGAACAAACAGACACACAAACGTCATAAAATGTGACTACAACCAAAACCAATTCCAACAGTCACGTCTGGACTTAAATCTGTCAACAAGCTGATCTTCGTCACGTGGATTGGCGATGTCATCGAACCTACCAGAGCCCTGGCATTGGGATTGGCCCTCTTGTCCAGCAGCAGCTTGGTGACCCTGTAGTGACCACAGTGCGCTGCCACATGCAATGCGGTCAAGTAGTCCAGCGTGACGTCATCCACAGGAGCCTTGTGCTGCAGAAGGTGTTTGACGCATTCGATGTGATCCCCCTGCGCTGCCATGTGGAGCGGGGACAGCCCGTTCTGAGGGAGAAAGACGGGTTTTTAAGGGTCTGACCGTAACTGAATAAGCCAAGCATATGAGTCACACTTTGTTCTTACAGCTCTTTGGATGAGAGTGCTTTGCAATGCAGGTCTCTACAGTAATGTTAAGCTTTTGTAGCATCTTTTAAATCGCTGTTTTGGTTTCGCAACACCAAATCTTTGTCCACTTCCTGCTCTCAAAATACTTTTTTACAGAAGCAGCTCTTAACTTCTTAGTGGGCAATCACCTGATACTGAGCTATGAAACCTCTCATTTCACCTATTTATGCTTTAAATACAGTATGCAAACACATTAGTCATTATAGTATACTGGAAATATACCACGTAAATACTACTAAAGTAGGCAGATGAATCTTTAAGATTTTGTGATTGATTAAGTTACGCCTTGTTTAATTAGAAACTTGACAAGTTGGCAACACTGAAATAACAAGCAATCTTTATATAAAT